GAATAATCTACATACATGTGCTTAACTTATCATAAAACTTATTGATTTTCTTATACTATATATGAGTCGCTCAGAAGCCAATGCGGTTAAGTCCAAAACACAACAATTGAGAAAATTAATGTTTTTTGATACATTAGTTTTTAAAATTCCTGGTTTATTAACTTAATTAGAAAAGTGTATAAACTCTTTTTTCGAGGTGTAAACTCTGCAAGAAAAACAAGATATGTACAGGATGTGTAAATAAAAACGTAAGTATTTATTGAAATAATGACAGCATCTTAAAAATTTTAGGACTTACACCTTTTAGCAGCTGAAAAAGATAAGAAATTTATGTCTTCTAGTATAAACGAACTTCGATTTTTCTCAATCATCACTAGATACAGTGACTAATAGAAAATAAACTGTTGGATTATTTCAAAAATTGATTTTTACTTCAAAACTAAAGTGGCACTTTTCTTTGTTTTAGGAAATGAAAAAAAAAATTTAAAAAAATAAAAAATACCACATTTTAAAAAAATACTACAAAAAATACCATACCATTTTTGGTGAAGAAATACTACCGTAGTATTAAAAATACTACGCCTGGCAACCCTGGTTACTATGAATTTCTTATTTTACAGTGGTACCAACAAATATCAAAAGAAGAAGAATAATTTAATTTTTATTTCAAAAATTGTGTAAAAAAATATTGATAAAAGGTGAACTTATTCACAATGGCTTCTGAAATTATTATGTAATATATTCAGAAGCTATTAAAAAAAGGGCTGTCTCACCTAGAAAAAAGTAACCAACGAGTAAATCCTTTAATAACTAAGAAGATTATTATTTATTTCATCAAAATTTCCAAAAATCAGAAAATATCAAAAAATGGACTTAACCGCATTGGCTTCTGAGCGGCTCATATATATAAAGAAAATTGCTTTCAAAATGTCATAAAAAAAAACAATGGCTACTCAACTAAAGTGATTAATTCTATATAAAATCATTGTAAATTATAAATAAATTTACCAAAAACTTCTTTATCAATTTATATATTTTTATTATGTGCAACTCCATTTCAAGCAAGTCCGTGGCTAAAAATCTGTGCAAAATAGGCTATTCATGTTTCTTTATTGTTCTCACTTTTTCTTAAATGTATATTAATTTTATAAAATCATTAAAATTGTATAATTAAAAGTCAACCTCATTAATTATAAACTTCTTTAAATTATCCAGTATAATATTATTACCTTGCGCAAATCCATTTTTGGAGCAATCCTTGGTAACTAACAAATCAAACACGCTTCAGTACTGCAGTAAGAACGCGCTACTGAACAAAAACCTTCTATTTACGCTTTTAGTTCAATTTGCGTTTCCGTTTTCATATTAGGGACCGAGGGTGTGCGGTATTGGTCCTCGTTAAACTGTGCTGCCGTAAAGTGGTCGACTTCGCGCGCAGGTCGTTGGGCTACCGAAGCGGGGGTGCCATCCCCTCTGCAGAGGATCAAAATTGTGATGGCATGTCTTCGGATCATCCTCAGGGATGCTTCCCAGACCGTCGCCAATAGCCCATTGTGCAGCTCTAGTGCGACGTAAATGAAACTACAACTACAACTTGGTAACTAACAAATCAAACACGCTTCAGTACCGCAGTAAGAACGCGCTATTGAACAAAAACCTTCTATTTACGCTTTTAGTTCAATTTGCGTTTCCGTTTTCATATTTCGTAGTCTGGTTATCTTATTGTGAAAATATTGTCAATCATAATTGAAAGTTTCCCGTCCATGTAAGTTCATTTGAAGTCGCTACTCGCTTTATGGATTTCGTTTTGTGTCTTGCTCTGTTTTTTCGTTACACTTTTTTTCTTGAAATTTTATTTTCTGTTTTTCATATAATATTTTTTACTTAACGTGTTCTATTTTGCTCTATTGTTGATTGCTTCTCATGCTATTGTATTGATAAATTTTGCTTTGGCTACATTGAAACAATATTAGTTAGCACTCTTTTTTGCGGATATAATCGTGTGAGCTGATGAAGAGTTCATATCCTTTATCCCGGGTTTTTATTCATATTTTTTAATGTTATTTTTTTTATTTTAATAATTTTTTTCTTATCTTTTCANTACGACGAGCCGTTCGAGCGGGATATGCGAAAAACGAAATAGAATTTTCTTTTTAGTTAAGCGTTAACCATTATTTCAAATTTAACTGCAAGAAATTCAATTTTTCAAATATTTTAGCGATAACATTAGTGATATTTGATTCCTTATATCAAGAAAATGATCAAAAAAAATGAATGAAATGAAAAATGATCAAGAAAAGAGTTTGTTGCTTATACTTTAATGTTTAATTATTTTTTATTCGTTAGGTCAAATAAATTCATAAGTCCGCAAAATTAAAGGAAGAATAGCACTAATTGACTAAGAAGAAAAAGTCGACATACTCTTATTGACACCAATGATAATTAATTTCCGTAATAATTACTAATTAAAATAAACGAAATGGGCTATGTTACATGGCAAAATTAAAGGAGTAAAGGAACTTATTCGTTTAGTAGAACCGTTAAAAATCGCCATATTATTATTGGCGTATATGATACTTAATTTATGTTGATAATATGTAATAATTAAATTTAAAAAAATAACCTATCAACTAAAACGTAAAGTTAACGTAGAAAAGATACTTATTCAGTTTGGGGATATTATTATCTGCCATATAATTACTGAAACCAATGCTTAATTATTATTGGTAACATATATTAATTGAAATACCGTAGAAACTGCCGTACTGGAGAAAATTGCCATACGCAGATCACAATTAATTTTGGCAATATGCACTACTGATATAATGATAATGGGTGCAGTTTTAATAAGAATTCTACCACGGGTTTTACGTAGTTTCAGAAAATATTCTTCCAGCGGAAGAAAAGATAGCGTATTTATATTTTAATGAATTATACTTGGAATAACTTTTTTCCACCACTACTTATAAATATTTTAAACAGTTAACTTATGGTCGGGTAAAGAATTGATCACATAAAAATTTTACTTGCTCTTAAAATTTCAGCATCAGTTTGCTGCCAATGATAAATGTACTTCGTACAAAACCCAAATATTGAAGAACTATGTTGTTGTTGTAGTTTATTTACGTCGCCCTAGAGATGCACAATGGGCTATTGGCGACGCTCTGCGAAACATCCCTGAGGATGATCCGAAGACATGCCATCAAAATTTTGATCCTCTGCATAGGGGATGGCACCCCCGCTTTGGTAGCCCGACGACCTGCACGCGATGTCGAGCACTTTGCGGTAGAACAGTTTAACGAGGACCAATTCCGCTCACCCTCGGTCTTACGCAGACTGATCCAAGTGGTCACCCACCCGCTCACTGACCACAGCCAGTGATGCTTGACTTCGGTGATCTGCTGAGAAGAAGAACTATGGAATAAGTACCAAATATACAAATATAGGGATAATGTATTATATAGTTATTGTTGAAACTGCACAGCATTGTGATTTAAATGATTATCAAATACTAATTAATAGTTTTAAAACTATAAGCAGTTTTAATATTGATACTGTGAAAATAAGTGTCTTACTGACCCTTGAAGGGGATACGAACCGGAGAGGATGTTGGTAAATTTTGCCTATCAAGAATTAGCCGCGAGCAATATCATCTTTACAAGTGATGCTAAATACGGTTAATCTCTATTTTGATGAGATCAACTACACAGAGAGTGTTTTGCTTGTTATAATAACGTAAAGCCATAGGGAAGGGCAACAAATAATAATAAATAAATCAATAAAATTATTTTAGGTTTGATAATTGAGCTCAGTGGAAAAACCAGATAAGTTATACTTTCAGATAGGCTATAATCAGTGTAAGAAGAAAAACAACTGTTTTATTACCTATCCACTAGAAGGTGGGACTAATAATTCTTTGTCTTATTTTATTTCCCACTGCCTAATTTGAAAATTCAACCGTACTAATTTGAATGTGAATTAGTAATGTTTAGATTGAAGTGAAAAAGAAGGAAAATATTGTTACATTTAATGTACTCATATTGAGGCAACCACTTTATTTTCACTGATCTAAAATACCCCTAAAAATGTCACTTACCTGGTTCTTCCACTAAGCTTTTCAGTGCTGTCGGTATATGCGTTTCAGATTTGTGCATGATTTCGTAATGTTGATCAGTACGGATTAAGTGATTTTATTTTTTTTCATCCCACACGAAGAACGGACATTCAGCTACCGTATATATAAAAAGAAAAAAATGTGAAGAAAAAAAGCAAAGAAGAAAATTTTACAGAGACTTTACTTTTCAGCTATGTGAACTACAGCATAGAGAACGTGAACATAAATAAAATTACTCAAGCTATGAAATAATTTTAACAAACTAACATATATCTGAGAGGGGAATTACAGTAGAGTGAATGTTAACATGATTGTAATTATTCAAGCTAGGCAACAATTTTAGAGACAAACATATATCATAGATGGGAATTACAGAACAGTGGATTTCACCATGATTTTGTAATTATTCAAGCAAGGATATTGATTTTAAAGGCATTTCAGAAATTGGAAAAACAGCATAATGAATGTGAACATGTTTATAATAGTTACTAAAGCGAAGAAATCAATTCTAGATATTAATACATTTCATAGATCGTAACAACTTCATGGTGGATATAATTATTAAATCGAGGAAATTAATTATAGATTTCAATACATTTCAGAGATTGTAACAACTTCATGGTGGATGTAATTATTAAAGCGAGGAAATTAATTATAGATTTTAATACATTTCAGAGAGTGTAACAACTTCATAGTGGATGTAATTATTAAAGGAAGGAAATTAATTCTAGATATTAACACATTTCAGAGATTGTAACAACTTCATGGTGGATGTAATTATTAAAGTGAGGAAATTAATTCTAGATATTAATACATTTCAGTGATTGTAGCAACTTCATGGTGGATGTAATTATTAAAGTGAGGAAATTAATTTAGAATCACTCACCTGAATTAGACGTTATCCAAAATACATAGGGTGAAAAAAAATCGCATACATACGTGCGATCTGGTAAACTTTGGATTCGAGATAAGATGACGTCGATCTGTGAACTACTCTCTCAGTGCAAACAAAAGAAAATGAAGGAAGGAACGTATGATGGACAGCGCACTGGTATTTTATCTTTAAAATACCACAAATAAGGGAAGGATGCAGATAGAGATAATAAACCGTCCATTAAAATCGCCGAAAATTCTCTTATCTTATATAATACGGCAGTTACATTCCTGTTTGAGCACGATTTTGGTAATCTGATTATATGCAGAGTGCGTCCAAAAATTAGACACGTGCGTTGTTTGGAAAATACACTTTTGATCAAAGAAGTATTTAATAAATAAATGAAAAGTAAATAAAAGAATCGGCTTTAAATAATTTGTATTATACTATTCGCTGACACAAAAATATTCTAACCCCCCCCCCCGTATGAGTAAACTGAATTCTGGCTTCTTATGATATACTATCGTTAAAAGACTAATTTCACAAAAAAATACTTAAAAAGAAAATTATCACTTAATGAAAATTATGAATAGTTAAAATGTTATGTTTATGAATATTCGTTTATATGATAATAATTAGATTTAAAAAAATTTCTCAGCTTTAACCTAAGATATTTTAATTTCATTTGCTAATTTTCAATAAAATTCTCCATATTGATATTAACTTTTTACGTTCGTATGGATACTGTAGAGTATCAAACTTTTTTTAATCTTTTATCCGTACAATGCTAAGAAAAAAAGAAGAAAAAGAATTTCCTCAATAACATTTGGTTTAATCAATGTATCTTCACATTCTGGAACTTTATCTAAATAGTTCGAGGGAGTGACTTCAAATATGCTAATTAATTAGAGCATGCAATATTTTAAGTTGCAAAATCAGACACAGAAACGTACTTGCTATAACTAAACATACAGATTTGGGTATGTGATCCCCAAAATATAGAAGTTATCTGCAATCTGGAAAATATGGTTTAGACAGGAGAACAGGCATAATTTTGGTCCCCTTAATGCTAATATTACTTTTTGCTTACTTCACTGCTCCAAGAACACTTTCTAAGCAAATCGAAGCAACACAATACACTAATAGATTTAGTTATAAGTTAATAATTTTTAATAATTATTTTTATAGCAACAAAGACTTGAGTAGAAAGAGTGAAATTTTCTACAAAATTTAAAGTGCGTAATTTTAAATGAAAAACCATAAGAAAAGAATTTGCATGAAAACTGCTGTCGAAAAGTTTCTGCTTCATCAAATTTTAAAAAGTCATGTGCCTAAAAATTCTTTTCCTTGGCAGCTATTTCGCTCAAATTTTGTTCATTATACGTTGAAACCATTGACTTTTGAAACATTTTCACCACAAAACTCCAACATCTTTCCAAAGTTCACAAAACTCCAACATCTTTCACTAAAATATCATCTTTTTATTCAAATTGTCGGAGGTAAATATTGAAATCTTTTTGACCTCTAAAGATCTTCATGAATTATGCACTTTTATTAGTATAAACTTCCTATAATTTGTGTAAAATGTATAGTTCAATGGAAAAAGAGCCAAAGACGACCATACTTCATTAAACTTATTGCCATCAAACATTTGACATCCTGTCTTCCGTAGGTATGGTAGTATAGCATGTTATAATATAATACTTGACCGAGTTTAAATATCATAGGTCTATATTAAGGGGAGATATAGGGCCATATATATATATATACGGTATATAAGCAACAAATTATTCATTTCAACCCACTATGATATATATATATATATATATATTTACTCAGTTATTGTGCGCCATTGTGGGCCCCCTAATTTGTCAATAATTAATTCCTTTTATATAGTACTATAGTATATTATAATACAATACCTAACCTGATTTGAATATTATAAATTAATATTAAGGAGCGTTACGGGGCGATTTGTACTTACAGCTTTTAAAGTACCGCGCCCCCTTTTTTCTATAATTATTTCGCGCGCTTCCTAATTTGTGTATAATTATATCCTTTGTTATGGTAGTATAGTGCGTTAAAATCTAATAGGCCGAGTTTGAATACTATAGGTTAATGTTAATGAGAGATATAGGGTATATAAGCAACAATTTCATTTTAACTGTATATTACGCACTTAGAAATGTATACATATATTCTTAAATATTGTGTAGCATTGTGATACCGAGATTTTAATTTATATTTAAAAGGAAATTTTTAATCCTCATTTATTTGCTGAAAAAAATATACGTTTAACTTAATCAAAATGTGAGATAATAATCAAACATTCGAATCGGACTTTTTCTCCGTTTCAATTTCTTTTACTTTAATTTTTCTTTTTTATTACTTTTAAAACAATAAAAACTATCTGTACAGAATTTGAAATCTGTCCTTATACATATTTGATAAGTATTAAGTCTTAGAAAAATAAACTAATTGAGATATTTATAAATAAATTTTTAAAAAACTATTGAAAATACACTCCTTATAAATTTCGGAAATATTTTAAACTTCTTTAAAAGTTATTGATAAATAACGCTGAAAATAAACTAAAATAATTAAATTTTTAGAATTCATAAATATTTAGTAAAAGGAAAATTATATATTTATTTTAAATCATAAAATGTATGTCTATTTTAAATAACAAAAAATTAAATCATCAGGAAATTTCAAAAAAAAAAGTTAAAATCAGGTTTCGATAAATAATTCTTTTAAAATAATAATGAAAAATATGGAAATTTTAAATTTAGAAATTTCTTAATTTTTAAAAAGCTAGTAGTACATAATGCTAAACAAAAACTAAACTATGTATTTATCTATTCAAAATAAGTTTTGAAGCATAATATGTACGATTACGTATTAAAAGTACAAATGTAATTACTTGAAAAAAATTAAAAATCTTGGGTAGTATATTTGTAAACGTTTTTAGTACATATATGGGAAGTTATGTTTACTTTTGTTTTTATTAGAGTTTCAATTCCACAGCGCAAAGAAATTTTATTTTTCAAAAAAAAATTCAAGCATGAAAAAAGTATATTCCGGTCTAATTTTAAGACATAATAATCAAAATTTGAAACAATTTAATAATAATAAAAAATTAAATGCCTTGCATAATATTTGTGAAAGTGTTTATGACAGTTTTAATTCATTAGTACAAATGATTAAAAAAAAATTAAAAGTGAATACAAGTTACTCACTGTTTATAAAACTGTTTCATATTAAGTCGTTATCTTGTGGTAAACAAAATGGCTCTAACATTATAACTGAACACGGCCTCGCCTCACTTGAGTTCAGAGAGAAGAGCCTTGATAATAGTGACCTATATCTCCAAAATGAACTTTCACCTCACAGTAAAAGCTGGTGGGTTGACCACTTTTTCTTACACCTTCATTGTTATGTTTTCTTACCAGAACTTCTGCAAGCATATAAGTAAGAGAGGATTAGAAAGAATCATAAAAATTTCCTTAAATGCACGATGTTTTGGGGAAACAATTTCAAGATACTAAAAGGCGGATATAAATTTTTGAAGTTCACAGAAGAAAATTAAAAAAAAAAGGTTTGAAATCCTAGAAAATGATTCTAATTAAGCAACAGAAATTTTTTTTGTTGTTCTGAATGTTTATAAAATTAAGAGTTGCGCGGTAGATTTTGAATTTAACACTAAAATTTTGCTAATTTTTAATTTTAGTCTTACAGAATATACAGTCAACATTGTTTTTCGTCTGCGGGACAAATACAATTCAAGTTATTGACGCATTCAAAATGTATACAATTGACGTATTTAAGTTATATAAAGTCCCACATTGGACTGATCGTAAAGACGCGGTACCCAGTAGATCGTCAAAGTCCAGCACCAATGGCTGCGGTCAGTAAGCGGGTGGGTGACCACTTTGATCCTGCGTAAGGACCGAGGGTGCGCGGTATCGGTCCTCGTGAAACTGTTCTAGCGTAAAGTGCTCGACTTCGATCAGGCTACCGGATCAGATCGTCGGGCTACAAAATCAGAGGAGCCATCCACTCTGCAGAGGATCAAAATTGCAATGGCATGCCTTCGGATCATCCTCAAAAATGTTTCCCAGACCGTCGCCAATAGCCCATTGTGCATCTCTAGTGCTACGTAAATAAAGTACATAACTACCTACCTTCAAGGTATAAATTGCAGTTCTGAATTAACTATAGTTTAATAATTACTCCGAAATAAACAAAATAAATTTTATATTTGTTTTCCTTTCCTAAAAATGTATTCTTAAAAAAACTTTCCGGCAAACAAAGGAAACTCTGTGTGCCTTTCATGTAAGCAAAGAACTACACGGATTAAAAATTTCCCAGGTGATTTCTTAATATTTCATCGAAAATTGATAACTCTCTTTAGATGTGATAAGAATAATTCAGTTTGAATACTGTCAGGGTAGATAAAGCACCACTGAAAAAGCAAATATATATTTTTTAGTATCTTTACTTGATATCTCAGAGGAAATAAGTCAACTTTTGTCTAAAATGTCTCAGAGGAAGTAAGTCAATTTTTGTTCACTATAAGTTCGCAAAGTAACTGAACACACGTTGACTTTATTTATATATTACAGGACAAGCTATCAATAATTATTAAAATAATTTATATCAATAATACAAAGACTCTAGATCGGTTTTGATTAATAGCGGTTTGGTAATTTCTTTAGTTTATATCAATAATACAGAGACTCTAGATCGGTTTTTGATTAATAGCGATTTGGTAATTTCTTTAATTTATATCAATAATGCAAAGACTCTAGATCGATTTTTGATTAATAACGGTTTGGTAATTTCTTCCATTTTTATCTGATTTACTAAATACTTTTAACACTTTATTTATTGTTGTTATTGCTTATGAACTAAGCTTCTACATAATATATAGCTTTTTAATTTCTTTTGCAACTTTTCGTTGTAGTTTTCATGTTGATGTAGTTATGACATAAGGTAAATGATTGATGTAGTTCTATTACATATAGTATTTCACTGATGTAGCTTCAAAGTTGAAGTTTTTAAAATTATGTAAATTGTTGATGCAGTTATATTTTTGACAGCGTTTACATTATGGATGCATTTACGTTGATGATGTTTTTAACATGATGGAAATTGATAGCGTAGTTTTTTACACGATTTATATTGAAGTTGAAATTTAAGATGCACAGTTAGGATTTTAAATATTTTTTTAACAGATTGTTAAATTGAAAATGCAGTAAAAATATGCATTTATTATTTTACAAGTATTCATCTATTCTGTTCATCATTATAAAATAAATGCTGCAAAAAGGCCTGTGTGAAACTACTACACAAATGTTAAAAAATTATTATAATAATTTTTAACGAATCTATTGGAAGTTATCGTATCCAGGATTATGAGAAATGCTATATGAATGAAAAGCTATTTTAAATATGACAAGATTTATTCAATCCTTTTGTGCATTGATGTTGAATGCGTTATACCTTTTTAATTTTTGTTTAGTTGAATTAGTAAAAAATATTTTTTTAGATATACTGATTTTATAATTTTTAAAAATAAAAAATTACATTTTTTAAAAAATGTTCACAGCAGTCATTTTCTATGAGAGTTATTATTTTTCTTTTTTAAATTTATTATGCATTGAATGTATGGTTTATTATACTGTTTTATTCTTTTGCTTTAATGATTTAATTTTTTATCTTTTTCTTTTATCAAATATTTTTAATTATCGGTAATTAAATATCCATCTATTGTTTTTTTAAGTAATTATTTTAGAGCAAGGCTACACAAACCAGTTGGAGGATAGTAGAACCGGGAAGCGGTCAATAATTAAAAGCGAACAAGCTAATATCCGCAGTAGCCTATTTGGGATGTATAGATAAATGTAATATCTAATTAAAAATTTCATTCGCTTTAAAAATATATAAATAAGAAATAAAAATCGAAATGTTTCAAACGCTCAAAAACAGTCCTCCATTTTCAAGACTTGTCAGACGTGAATGAGATGAGACAAAAGTGATTTGATATATAAAACTAAAAGTTGCAAACAAAAAATGGAAAAATAAAGGTTGAAAAAAACTAGAAAAACTATAGTAGCTGAGAAGTAGGTAGGTACTTTATATACGTCGCACTAGACCAGCACAATGGGCTTTTGGCGACTGTCTGGGAAACATCACTGAGGATGATGCAAAGACATGCCATCGCAATTTTGATCATCTGCAGAGGAAATGGCTCACCTACTTTGGTAGACCGACGACCTGCGCGTGAAGTCGAGTACTTTACGGTGGAACAGTTTAACGAGGACGGATACCGTACACCCACGGTTCTTAAGCAGGCTTATCAAAGTGGGCACCTGCTCACTAGCTGATCACAGCCAGTGATGCTTCTACTGCAAACCGTGTCTTTACTATCAGTCCACTGCGGGACATAATAGCCGAGAGAGAAAGAAGATGAAAAACAGAACAAGAAAAAATACAGTGGTCCAGAGGGGTAAATAAGCGGAAAATGCATTTATATACATTATTGGCGATCAAAATGCGCTACAGGTGGCTTAGAGTAGAACTCTCTACCTATGGCAATACCTCTCACGCTTTCACGATTAGCGTGTGGAGAGTCATAGGAGAAGGAAGCATGTTAGTTTCTGTTTTGATTTTGAAACAGATTAAAAAATGTTAAGTTAGAAAATTCTATGGAACTCTTAACTGCATTAAACACAGTTCTTAAAGAAAGCGTCGTGGAAATTTTGGAAAATATTTTTGACAATTAATGCGAAAAATATTATGGAAGGGGAAAATATCATACTACATTAACCCATAAACCCATGCCATGAGCTCAAAAATGCCCGGAAGTGGTGTATTGTGCCATCTCGAAACAGTTATGTCTAACTGCTTTTATACTGTGTAATACTGTTTGTTTTTTTTTTCTTTTTTTTAATACTGTGTAACACCTGTTGTGTTTAAGTGCATGAAGAGTGTTTCGGCCGTAAGCTATGCAAAGATTTATATTTTTGATGTTCTTCTTGTATTGACTCTGAATAAAATTTTACGCTGATTTTAGATTTCGTTTGCACTAATTTTAAAGGCTAATCATATTTCTATGACTGTCATAGCCCAACTAGTGGACATGCAGTAGCAACTATATGACACTTTTAACATTTTTGTCAATCATATGACATTTTCATCAAATTTTCCCCTTATAAGGCGAAAAAAATTTACCAGCATTCAAATTTTAGTCCGCTAAAACAAAAATTAGACGAATTAAAATCTGTAAGGTGTCCGTATTTCTGGTACCTTTAATGTTAAACAAATCTGATTAAATCAAATATACAGTGAATAATTTTGTTGACAGATATCTTGAAGAAATAGAAACGGAGGTGGGAAGATCTCTTGCAATTTTGAACGATGATTTGGAAAAACTCGAGCAGGCATCATCATCTACGAAATATGCTCCCAGGTAAGATAAAGAGTTTTTTTTTCTTCTCGTAGCGTGAATGAGGAACTGAGTATAAACAATGAGAAGTTTCTAAAATTGGATAGAATATATCTAACAGAGTTTCAAAATTATAAGTTAATATTAAGACATGGGGCATTATATGCATGCAGTACAATAGCAATTTTTTTTCTAATTTCATACGTTCATATTTGAAGTGCACTTAAAAATAAAAAATGTAGTATATATCAGTGTATGTAGTATATTTTTATTATATATATATATAAATATAAAAGTAANGTAAAGATGAAAAAGTGTTGTATTGTTTTTCAGTAGTAATAAGCTCAAAACTTAAATAAAAATAATAAGAAGAAGAACTCTTAAGTACTAGAACTTTATAATAAATAAATAATAAAAATTTTGATCGTTTTATTACGGTCACTGGTTACTCATTGGTCAAATGCTTTTTCTTTCTGGCTTGACTCTGATAAACATCACAACATTTCAAATCATGGGTAGCAAAAACTGTCTCAAAAGATGTTTGTCGTCGGATTGGTTTTCAAATCCTGCCAATGTGTACGTGTTTCAAGACGTCACAAAATACTTTTCCTTCTTCAGTATTCATATTTATATTAAAATCACCGTCAAGACAGTAATTATAAGTTAATAATAAAAAGTATATAAAAATACTTTAAATTATTATGTATATACATTAAGAATGACTGCTGGGGAAAATAAAAAGAAGAAAGAATTCTAAAAAAATTATCAAACAGCAACGGTCGCCATAGCAACGCATGCAATGACAACGCATGCGCACTGTCTATTATTATTATTGAACACAGTTGAAAAGCGTGATGACGTCCAAACAAAGTGTGCACGTCAGTTAAATTAAAATGACGACAAATCAATTTTTTTCTAAAAAAAGAGAATAAAAATTAAGTAGGAGTTTAGAAGGCAATCAACAAAAAATAATAACATTATTAACAGTGAAAAATTAAAAAGTGCATATTTAGAAACGTGTTCTTGAGAAACTTCTTGGAGTAAGTAGTTTACTAATCGTTATAGTATTACTAATCGTTATTACTAATCGTAAGTAGTATTACTAATCGTTTGAAAAAAAAAAATTTTGAGTTGATAAAATATAATCAGAAAAAAAGTGCTAAAAAAATGTGATCATTTTTATAGCACTGAATTGAAAAAAATTGAGGGATTGTAAAAAAAGTGCTGAGCTCTAAGAAAGTTTCAAAAAATAAATAAGCGGAAAGCTAAATTAAATATCCCATAAGGAGGAAAGAAGCCTGAAACGTTCTTTAAAATAAAGGTCAAGAAAATACGACACAAAAGAAGAAGAAAATAGAACGAAAAAAAATTCTATAGTAATAAAAATCTAACTTATGGGCAAATTAACACAAAATTCTTTTATTTTAATATTGTTAAGAATGGTAATAAAATAAATATTGATAAAATTGGCACCGAATCAAAAACGTAGATTTCCTTTTGTTAAAAAAAAAAATGATATTTATTAAGGTTTTGTGTCTCTTTAAACAACATTGATTAAGAACGAGAGTAGGGGGAAGAGTGGGAGTAAAACAAGTTCGAAAGAGATGAGTCACAGGTAGAAGAAATATCCCGTGCTCTACAGTTTCGTTTCAATGTTGTTAGAGAGCATGATGAAATGGAGAGTGAAGAAAGAAAATTATTATGAGTAAGTAGCATCAATAAGTTTTTTTTTTGGGGGGGGGGTCCCCCATCTTGCGTTTTGTCAATGTTTGGATAAACAAAATGGTAGGTAAAATAATTTTAATTTCTACTTTCATTTTTGTATGAGTAACTAAGTTGTTTTCAAATTGAAAATTTTACTTTAATATTAATGTAAGTATTACTACAGAAACTTACTATTGAAAATTTTATATTATTATTACCGCAGGCATGAATACTAAAACTCACTTATGAAAATTTTATGTAATTAATGTAGGCATTACTACCGAAGCTTTCTAATGAAAATTTTACATAATTAATGGAAGCATCACTACTGAAACTTACTATTGAAAATTTTATGTAATTAATGAAGGCATTACTACCGAAGCTTTCTAATGAAAATTTTACATAATTAATGCAAGCATCACTACTGAAACTTACTATTGAAAATTTTATGTAATTAATGTAGGCATTACTACCGAAGCTTTCTAATGAAAATTTTACACAATTAATGCAGGCATCACTACTGAAACTTACTAATGAAAATTTCATATCATTATTAGTTCAGGTATTATTATCGAAATTTGCTAATGAAAATTTTATGTCATTTTTAACATAAGCACTACCACCTAAACCTGCTAATGGGAATTTTAAATCATTATGAGTTATTAAAATTGATTATTATAATTTATCATAAGTAGATTAATAAACAGTGGAGGGTGGGGTCTAAAATATATTACTTACATTTTATTACATGTCAATAATTGCAAAAGTATATTTACAGCAATATTAATTTCTAGTTTGATCAATGTAAGCGTTAATAACTAATGAAAATTGTAAAAAATTCTAAGTAAGTAAAATTATTATTATATTTATTATTGTTATTATTACTATTCAGATTATTCATAAAATTATTTGTAAACATGGATAAAAAAAAAAATAATTTGCCTTGCTTATATGTTATGCAAGCAAATTATTCACCTTTATTTTCCCTTCTCCTGATTTCCTATTCATATATGACAAGTTTATAATGTACAGTTTGCCAAAAAAATGGACCACCCTGAATAACTTTTGATCTAATGATCGGATCTTCACGTTCTAGGACTGAATCTTATTGGCTCGAAGGGGTGACTTCAAATATGTTAATTAGTTAGTGTAGACGACATCTTAAGTTACGAAACCAGACACAAAAACGTACTTTCTCTATATAAGCATACATTTTTTTTCAACGGATTCGGTTTTCTGTCCCCTAAGGCAGTGTTCCCCAACCCCGGTCCGCGCAAAATAAAAAAATTGAGCGAAATCGGTTGAATAGTTCCTGAGAAATCAAATTTTTAAAGGAGTCATATATTTAAAATTCGATCTCCCAAGAACAATTCATCCGATTTCGCGAAATTTTGTATTTTGCATTGTAAAATTACATACTTTAAAATGTTGTAAAAAATTACAAATCTTAAAATTCAAACTTTTTCGAAATAAATAAATAAATTGAAAAAGAAAGTATGTTCATTCAGAAAAATTATGTTTTCGTGTCTGATTTCTTAATTTAAAATATCGTCAGCAATAATTTATTATGACATTTGAGTTCACCTTCTTGAGTCCTAGAACATGAAGATCCGATCATTAGATTCGAAGTTATTTAGGGTAATCAGTGTTTTTTTTTTATTTATTTATTTATTTTTTTAGCACTGTGGGGTGGGGGAAAAAACAAACATCCGAGGAAACTTTCTGACCTAATGATCGTATTTCGCACCCCAAATAGTACATGTTACATATAAAATAATTTTAAAAAGTCAGACAGAAAAATTAAAAATACTTTAACTCTTTCGAAGCATTCATATTGTTACCTCTTAAGAACACTAACGGACATTCCAATCATTTGAAGGTTTGAATATTATTTTACTAAGATATAGATAGTTGGTTTTTATCTTAACAGCTTAAGAAGCGCTGATTCTATGGCATTATACAATATTTAAATGGTTATTTAAATATTATTAATAATATGAATAATATTAATAATAATATTATAATAATAATATTAATAGCAATAATAATATAAATAATAATAATGATATTTAATATTTTTATAATAATCCATTTATTTAAATGGTAAAGTGTAATTTTATTGAGATCTATAGGTGATTTTGAATTTCGGAAGCTCTGCTTCTACGTATAGTGTTATATATTATTTAAGAACAGTAATAGATTTTCTAGTTATTTCAATCATTAAATATCATTTTACTGAGATGGTAATCATCATGATTGATCATCGGGAAAGCATGAAGAGAAGTGCAGGATACTTTGTTTCACGTGATGCAAGAAATACATCTTTGAAACCAATATTAACGTTTCGGGGCACTGTTAAATGACTTTTTCTTTTTCTTCCAGGATTATTTAGGATTTTGTTAGATTTTTTTCTTGATAATGGACAAAATTTTGCGTCATTTCCTTCTTTACAAATTTAATAAACTACTTAACATTTTTCTTCTGTATTTTTTTAAATTCCCGTATTTTTTGTCATTACATGCTAGTTCTTGTAAATTAGACTTCCATTTTGCGAATTTCCCTATTTTTCAATTTTTTTTCGAAGAACCAAGAAAATTCCTCACAAAATAACTTCCAAAAAGCGAAGTGAATTTTCTATTTAACGAACTTTTCTTTGAGATCCACTTTCCCAAAAATTTCGGAACATTTCAAACTAGTTAACGTATTTTACGGGGGAAATGAACTTGAATTTATTTTTGTAGCCACTTAACTTTTAGAGAAAGCAGTAAAATCCCTTCCCCTCTTTGTTTGCATTTTAAACGAAAAACTCAGACAAAATTAACGAATTCTATCGGTAGCAATTAAACTTAAAAACGCATGTGGTAATTTATATGAAACGCATGTAGTATGTTTAAAATTACTTTAAATGCAGCTGTAATTTTAAGCATAAATTTAGCTCTTTTTAGTTGAAAATGTATGTAGCATGATAGTGTGGTGGTGGTGGTACTTATTCCTCTTGGCCCAGAACAAGGCTAGACCAAGTCCAGGAGACCGTTCACCGACAGAAAATCAAACACCATCTGCGGATCCTCCAAAATAAAAAATTTCTCCAGTCCCATACAGGTCAGCAAATGATCAGGTGAAGCCTGGTGAGCACTACATTTTAGGCATACAGGGAACGTCTTTTGACCCTGAACAAATGTTAGTCCGCGGGTATGACCAGTGATTAGTCTTGTGATAGCTGTCTGTAGTTTCCTACCACCTTTTAGCTCCAGGGCAGCCCCAGGAGTATTTTGTTGATACCATTCACGAATAGGTGGAATCCTCCAAGTCCTTTACCA